TATATATCCCATATGAAAATTGAAGAGCAATAAGACATGGCTTTATAGAAAGATAGATAACGGCTGAATAGGAAGAAATAATACATATATTTTCTATAGTTGAAGGAAACTTATCAAATGAATATAAGGAGAAATAATAGAGAAAACATTTAAACAGATTTGGAAAGATATAATTGATAACACAATTGCGAAAAGTATGTAGAAGTCAACCACGCAGTGCAAAAAAGTAAATCAGCAAATGACCATGAATAGAAAAAACCGTAACGTATGTTAATATAAATACGGAATAAGAAATTGTAAGCGAATAAAAGACTTTACGACAAGATAACAATTTAAAGACAGCAACGAAACATAAATATTTTAACTTCGCCCATACGAATAACAACGAAAGAAGTGGAAGATGTATGTAGATCTCTAAAAAATAACAAAGCACCGGGTCCAGGTAACATCCCTGCAGAGTTAATTAAAAGGGCACAACCAAACTATATGTAAGTTTAACCAAACTGTTCCAAAACTGCATTAATGGAATGACAACACCAGAGGAGTGGAAGACATTATTCATATCCACTATAAACAAAAAAGAAAGAAGGGATGAAGTGACAAATACAGAGGTATTGTCGTGACAAACTCGGTTAGTAGAATATACGGAAAATTAATTTAAAACAGAAGAGATAGCGAATATAAAGACTTAGAGGCTGAAGAACAGGAAGGATTTAGGGCAGGTAGATCTACTGTTGACCATTTGTTTTAAATTACACAGATTATTGAAAAGAAAGTAACCGTTAAGCAAGAAGTACATTTATTGTATGTAGACCTACGAAAGGCTTATGATAGCGTACCACATTATAAATTATGGGAAGCGTTAGAGAAAACAAACATAAGCATGAATTTAATAAATGCAACAAAAGTACTGTACGCTAATGCTAACTCAAAGGTAAAGGTTGGAAATAATCTGTTAAATGGATTCCAAATGAATAAAGGCCTTAAGCAGGGCTGCTGTCTCTCCCCGACATTATTTAAAATGTATCTAGAATAGGCTCTAAAACTGTGGAAACACAAATGTAGAAATATGGGAATGCCGATTAACAACAAGAGTATATACACTTTGTCATTTGTAGATGATCAACTAGTGATAGCACAAGATTATTTAGATATTGTGTATATGACTCGACAATTAGTCGAGGAGTATAAAAATTGGGGACTTGAAATCAACATCCAAAAAACCGAGTATATGTGTATGGGCGGAAAAAAACAGGAGCTCATATTGGAAGATGGAAAAGTTATCAAACATTGCAAAACATAAATATTTAGGTATGGTCATCACAAAAGAAGGCAACAGAGACGACACAATTGGCAAGAAAAACAACCAAGCAAAAAAAGCAATTTCCCTTCTCAATAGTAACCTTTGGGATCTATCAATCTCTAATAATAACAAGCACAAGATATATAATACAATCATTAAAAGTATAATTACCTACAGTAGTGAAATATGGCAAATAAAGAAAAGATACAAGAGAAAACTTGCGGCAACGGATTTCTGGAGACAGACGTTCAGCTGGAAAATCCAGACTAGAAAGAGTAACGCTCAACAGAATAAGCGAAATTATGAAAGTAAAACATATACAGTCCGTCCCAAACCCTTCTTTCAGTGCGTCATAGTTGTTCGAATTCTGTCTAACGCATTAAGCTAAAAGTGACAGAAAAAAACGTGAGTTCCTGATTATTATACATAGAACTTAGAAAATTAGGTATCGGTCACGGGTATTCGCATATTAAAGCGAATTCTACTTACGAACGTATAATTGGTTGGAGTTTAGAATACGCTAAATAGATATCCAATCAATTATGCATATAAATATAATTTGACACAGATGATCTTGATAATGACAGTGACAGTACTTTTACAATGTCAACTGATAAAATGATAATTGCCGTTCCAGGTTAGTATTTTCAGACATTTTACCTACAGTGAAAATTAAATTTTGTATTTATTGTCATAAAAATATTTTAAATATTCCGAGATATACCCAGAATGAACAAAGACTAATATTAAAATTATTAAATTAGTTTCAATTAGAAAAAGATACTGAGTTATCTTTATTATCAGTTTCTGTCGTTCGCGAATCAGATTGTGAATTCCGGAATGATATTGAGAAAATATCTTAAACTAATACCGTTATGGATATTTATATGTATTAAAACGGTTCTTTTTAGAACCACGACATTTTCTTGAAATGTAAGATATAATTGATACCAGCCACATATCTAGTGTAATCATTGATTTTAAAGAATCAGATTCTGAATGGGATTATGGATTGTTTGAAATATAATATTCATTTTTGTTATTCATAAAAAAGAAGGTAAACTTACATTCGGTATCTTGTTTTTTAACTAAACTCCATTAACACGATTTCATCTGGATACCGGAACTGGTAGATTAACTCAAAAATCAACTGCTTCACTATTTAAACTATTTATATTATTTTTTTAACTAAACTTTATAACCTTCTTTCATTTGCACACCAAATCTGGTAGAATAACTCAAAAATCAACTGCTTCACTATTTAAACTATTTCCACTATTTAATGACAAATCTTCACAAAATTAAACTATTGGCTGCCACAGAAACTTATCAGAAAATTACTTATCCAAATATGACTGATTTAAATCGATGTTATTTTATCACAGGAATGTTTACTTTGATGCCTTGCAGTTGCAATTGTCATTGCAATATGCCTGTGTGTTTGTAATAAATAATAATAAATCCATAAACGAATCTAAGCTAATTAAGCACTTTCCTTGGAATGTATAAAATAGAACAGAATAGAAAAGAATTATGACAAACTGCTATGCATTTAAAAAAAATAACCTTTTCACATTTAGCCGATTACGATCCTGCAACTGTCAGATTTAACTAAAATGTCATGCAATAATTCTCGACATTCTTTAAATCTTATATGACGTCAAAATTAGTGACGCACTGAAAAAAGGGTTTGGGACAGACTGTAATAGTAGACGATATACAACTCAGATGGTACGGTCATGTACAGAGAATGTCTAAAGAACGTCTCCCAAAACAAGTCTTATGGATAAAACTTAATAATAAACATAATTTGGAAACTAATATTGAAGTCTAATAGGAAATAATTAATATGTTTTTTAAAATATCCAGAAAGAAAGAAAGAATCAAATAGGAACTGCAAATCCAATATTATATTTTGCAACTACAAACCACATCTGAAAAACAAAACAAATTTTTTTTCGTAAGGGTTTTAGCACTATCGATCACTTGTAAACAATCCGGACAGTTATTGAAAAAACAATAGAGTATAACATACCACTACATCTACCATTTGTCGATTATCACAAAACATTCGACAGTATCGAGAAATGGGCTTTCTTAACAGCATTGGACGATGCCCTCCTTAAGAATATATACGATGATGCTACTTTTCACGTAAAAATAGATGATGATCTGGAAACTATGAAAATAGACCTTGGCAAAGGTGTGAGAGAGGGCGACACTATCTCACCCAAGTTATTTACTTTGGCATTAAAAAATGTTTTCAAATAACTAAATTGGGCCGAAAAATACTTAAAAGTAGATGGAGTATATCTTAACCATTTGCGTTTCGCAGACGACGTATTAATAATAAGCACAGATATTCATGAACTAAAATCAATGCTACAAGATTTAAATCACAAATCGAATCAAATAGGATTAAAAATGAATCTCGACAAAACAAAGATATTAAGCAACAGCCCAGAAAACATCACGATAGATAACATCAATACAGAAAAGGTAGAACAATATATATATATATATATATATATATATATATATATATATATATATATATATATATATATATCTATGACATGCAATTAAAAACGAAAAGGAAAACCAAATCCTAGAAATTAAAAGAATTACACAATTGTCATGGGCTGCTTTTGGTAAGTTGAACTTCATTTTAAAAAACAAAAAAATCCCAATTCACTTAAAACGAAAAACCTATGACACTTGGATACTACCAATTGCAACTTATGGATTGGAAACTATGGCAGTAACAAGAAAAATGGCAAAACAGTTAAGAGTAACTCAACGGGCCATGTTAAATATAAGCCACAGAGACAAAATTTCTAACACCGAAATACGTCGAAGAACTAAAATAACCGACATTATGGGAAATGTGGCAAGACAAGACACCAACAGATTGTTTCATAAAGTGACATTCTGGAGACCTCGAGAACCAAAAAGAAGCGTGGGAAGACAAAAAGAGATGGATAGACGATATAACAGCTGTAGCTGGAAAACAGTGGATGAGAATTGCAAAAGATAGGAAAGCGTGGAAGCATTTGGAGGAGGCCTATGTCCAACAATGGATAAATGAAGGCTGAAGAAGAAGAAGTAAAGATAAAAACCAAAAAGCAAAAATGTCAGGTTTTTATATAATAAAAAACAAAATATTTAATATAAAAATTTATTGTAAGACTTTGTAAGATATACAGTTCATTTACAATAGTTTTTATTAAACATAAATTATAAGTACTACATCACAGTTTATATCTAAATAATACAAGAATTATTACAAACAATTGTAAACCGCAATAATAGTTATATTTTAAAATTTAAATATATTTTCAGAAAATACCTTACAAAAATATCAAATTTTAAATTCAATAAAAATTCTTAATATGATATATCTAACTAAATGTAACACAGTCCAAAGTGTAAGTTTTATATTAAAATATACAATTTTGAGTTACAACAAGACTCACAACATTTTCTTAATAAAAAAATTTATGATAAGTATATTATATACAAACAAATAAAAGACATTTGCGTAATGTACAAATTTGATATTAGGTAAATCTATCAATTTTTAAAAATTTAGAAAGAAACACATACTGTTCAGAAATGTTCATTAAAAATGAATAATAAATATAAGTTTTGGATATATACACTCAATATACACAATAACACAAATTACACACCGAAGTTAAAAACACGTTGGAACAATTGTGTTTAGTGCTAAGAAAGAACTGGAACTCACCCATTTAGGATCATCTAAAAACATGTGCAGGAACATGTTAAATTCTTCATCGTTTTCCTTTGGTTTATACTGTTTTAAATACACCAATTCAACACACTTTTCTTTATGAGCCTCTGAAAGAATGTCAATCAGAGTTAAATTCATGTTTATCTCGTCTACCAAATTGGTGCAACTGTGTCCATGATAATTTAAGTACACAAAATTTTCACTGAAGATTTCGCCTATATTTTTCGAAAGGGAATCACTAACAGGTAAGAAAAGCCTAAGTTCCCTGTTGTAAAAGTTTTGAGTAGCACATACAATCTCTTCATTGATGAAGTTGGTTAATTTTCTTTGTAGCAGAAAAGTTGTCAACTTGCCTGTTGTTTTATATTCATCATTAAAATGATCTTTTTTCACTATAAGTCTTCGTAAATAATTTGGTAGGTCTTTTTGTTCAAATGGTACTAAGCTTCCATGTAGTGAAGTCCGGGTCAATAATGATTTAAGAGAAACAATGTTAGTAGGTTTACTGTTTTCAACTCCATTAGTTATGGTTTCTTCTTTCACTTTGGTATTTCTAATCGCATTAGTTGGTCCCATGTTGACTATATCACTGTAGGAAAACACGTTATTAACCAAAGAAGATTTTTTGGAAGGTAAAACTGAATCAGTAGTTTTAACCGTTGGATTACTAAGAAATTTGTTGACACTAGTACTTCGCGATTTAAAATTCGATAGTTTTGGTGAAACACTTGGAACTTGAAAGAACTGCTTTTTGACTTCTTTCACTGGTGCCATTTTAAAAATCACTTTTAATAAAATTTTGTATGTAAACACTTACAACTTTAAACCACTGTTGATAAATTTAAACTAAATGATTTCCAAAATAATCATAATTATAATATTTGATAATAAGGCGGTGGGCAGGTATGCTCCTTTTAATTAACCAATGAAGATGTAATTATGACTAATGAGTTTTCCACTGCCCTTCTCGTATTGGTCAAACTTTCTTTTTTGTTTTTAATTGATATAATGTTGTGAGATTTAACTGTTGTTTATGATATTTAGAAAAATTATGAATAGCGTAGGTATTTTTTAGTTTCTCTCTAAATTTTACATTTTTTTAATTAAGTATATTTGCTACATAATCATTCGAAAATTTTTTCGAAAAAGAGTTGAATAAATTTCAAATCTTAAGGAAAAGACAACTAGCTATAGTCTAATTAAAGATATTACTGTGTGATACCTTCAAAATTTATTTATTTATTTATTTTTTAATTAAACACAAAACCACATCAACCGCGCAGGATTATTAGTGGATATAACAAATACAGAAAATATTACATTATATTATAAATACAATTGAATAAAATGATGTCTTTTAAATAGCTTAACACTGTTGAATCATCTGTTGCATGGTCTGTGAATCCGTGGGATCTTCTTTTTTCCATGAATTGAGGACAATCAAGTAGGATATGTTTGACGGTTAGAGATTTAGAGCTGCTGGAGCAGATAGGTCTTCTTCTACTTCGCGTGCCATATCAGAATTATCCGATCTTGGCGATCATCATTGCGAAGGCTTATCGATCTTCTGCAATATGGAATAACTGTCCTGCATTTGATATCTGAGTCTATTCACGATTGTTTTTTAAAGAAGAAACTTGTTTTCTTTCTCTATTTTGCCTTTTGCCCTCTACGGCCCTCTATTTTGCCTTTAAGGATCAGTTGTACCTAATATTTTATATCGACTTCCCCTTTTTATATGTCCTAGATAAGACATTTTTCGATGTTTAACAGTCTTTAGCAGTTCTCTATCTTTGTTGACGCTGCTTAGTACTTTTTCATTAGTTTTCCTTGCTGTCCAAGGTATTTTCAGCAGTCATCTATGAACCCACATTTCCAATGCTTCAATTTTGTTCATGATCGATACTTTTAGCGTCCACACTTCTGCACTATACAAAAGTACGGACCAAACATAGCACTTAACCATTCTTTGTCTTAGTTCTAAGCTGTGATGATTATTGCAAAGAAATGACTTCATTTTCATAAAAGTAGATTTAGTTATTGCTATTCTACGTTTTATTTCTATGTCTGGATCTAGTTGGTCCGTTATCACAGTTCCCAAATATGTCATTTTGTGAACTTTCTCAACTTGGACTCCGTTTAATTGAAGCTTTGCATCGGGATGTGGGTCACGACTAAACACTAGAAATTTTGTTTTGTTTAAGTTAATATTTATGCCCATTTCCTCTCCTACCTCGTGAGTACGATCAAGCAGAATTTGAAGACCTTCAATATTATCTGACAGAATTACTGTATCGTCTGCATATCTAATCACATTAAGTAGTTCCCGTTGATTTTTATTCCATATGGTTGTCTCTCAAGTGGCTTTTTAAATAACTGGTCCGAGTAAACATTGAACAATATTGGCGACAAAATGCAACCTTGTCTGACACCTCGTTGCATGGAGATTTCATCGGTGTAGTTATCTATATTTACGATAGCAGTTTGATTCCAGTACAAATTTTTAATGACACGAATATCCTTGTCATCTATTCCGATATTTTTCAGTATTTGCATTAATTTTACATGCTGTTCTTTATCGAATGCCTTTTCGAAGTCCACGAAACATGCAAATAAATCTTTTCTTTGGTCACGGCATTTTGGTAATAGGCTGTTAAGTGCAAAAAGTGCCTCTCCGGTTCTCATAGCATTTCTAAAACCAAATTGGGTATCTTCAAGATCTTCTTCGCATTTTGCGTCTAATTCTGTTGTGAAGGATTCTGAGAAAAATTTTAAGAGTGTGGGTCATTAGGCTAATTAATCGATATTCTGAGCATTTTCTCGCATTGTGTTTTTTAGTTATTGCGAAAAATATGGATTTGAGCCAATCTGCGGAAATCACTCCGGTGTTATATATTGAATTAAAAAGTCTTACTACTACTTTTATGTTATCATTCTCTACTAGTTTTATCAACTCAGTTGGTGTATCATCTGGACCACAAGCTTTTCTAATTTTAGCATTATTTATAGCATGTTCCACTTCGCATTTCATAATTTCTGGGCCGTCAGTACAGTTTTGGTAGAATTCGGCAATATTATTCTTTTCTTATTTCTTTCTCATTTACAATAATTTTGTTATTAGTGTCAACAAGTACAGAGAGAAGTCGTTTTTTAAATATATTACTCATTTCTTTCAGTTTTTTGTGCACATTAAATAAGTCGTGTTTAGATATTACATCCTCCATTTCGTCGCACCTTTCTCTCATCCATTTTTCTTTGGCTAATTTGATATCCTTTTTTATTCTTCTCTTTGTTTTTACTATTCTCATGATTCAAGATTTGAAAATTTTGTATTCGTTCTGTTTATTTTTGAGCGATTTCAGAATACGCTGCAGTTCCTAGTTCTAGGTGACCTCAACGGGAAACTGTGTAAAAAACTAGACGAGGGAGAAACCAAAACAGAAACTTTTGGTTATGACGATAGAACTGATAGAGTAAATATGCTAAAAACTAATTAAAGGGACAAGGACATGATAAAATTAATAGCAAACAGTTTTAATAAATTATATGAAGAGAAGGTCATGAAAAGAGAGAAAACTTTTTTAATTTTTGGCATTGTCCTGAAAACTTCATTTAAAACTAATTCATTCGAATTATTATTACATAAACATCATAATTTTAAAAACTTGTATTATCTTTAATAATTACCTCTCATAAAATGTTAAGTAAGTCTCATTTGTAAAAAATTGATATCTAATGGTTGAGTATAGGCGGCGTAATGGGCAATTAATGCATTTGAGGTAATGTCTCATTGTTTTTTATTTTAAAAAGTAACTTTCACCTATATTTTAAAATAATATTTTTTATTTTAGAAAAACCATACATAAAATACATTAGATAACGATTAAGGTAATAATAAATCTTTTTGATAGATAAAGGTAATTGTCCTATCTAATTAGCTAATCAGCAAATTTATTTAAAAACATATTAAATCTTCACCTTTTGTTTCCAACTTTTTGTTATGTTTTCATCATTTAATAAGATTCTTCATCACTTGTTCTGTTATCTGACCTTCCAGCTCCAATTTACATCTTAGTAAATTTGCTGTTGTAACCATGCATTTTTGACTAAAAGGTATTGGTTTAAGAAAAAATCTCCACTCGTGGCGGAAAGCTACAGAAATCTTTCTAAATTTAAAGAAGTACGTTATAAGGGTCACATTCCACCAGTTTATACTGAAAAGCCTCATGTACTGTTCTCAATAAAAATCAAGACAGAATTTCTCAATGATGTCCAAGGCCCCATGTTTACTGCAGAAATTCAGAAGAGATGGCCTAATTATTATTACATGTTTACCGATGGTTCAAAAAAGGGAAATAACACTGCTTGCGCAGTATATCAGCAGTATTCTGGACAACATCATAAATATAAATTACCTGATGAAGCCTCCATCTACACATCCGAAATGCTGGGTTTAAAGTTTGCTCTTTCTCACGTTTTGACAAAGGAAATGAAGAACTGTGTAATATTTACAGACAGTAAAAGTGCAGTAGAAAGATTATGTGAAACAAATAAATCCAAGCAATTGACTCATCTTGATATAGAGATATTAAAATTGTACTACGAGGTTTCAAAGCTCGGAGGAGAAGTTATTATCGCATGGATCAAAGGCCATTCTGGGATAAAGGGTAATATAATAGCAGATGTATTGGCAAAAGAAGCATTATCAAGCGGAGAAACCATAGTCAACAATATTCTACCGGTGTTAGATATAGATGTATATAGTAAACAACGGCTTAAATTAAAATGGCAAGCCAATTATGCGGAATCCGAAAGACAGTCATCATTTAAATATTGGCAACCCACACTTCTCAAAAAAAAGGTGGTTTTATTCAGAGTCCAACAGAAGTTTTATTAAAACTATTTATAGGCTAAGGTCAGATCATGCTCTAACACCTTCAAGAATGTACAAAATGGGTCTAGCAGACACTCCAAACTGTACTTGTGGTAAATATGGAGATTTAACACATATCCTATTAGAATGTGGAAACCAACAAGGGAATATTACATGTTTTTATGAAAACTTACGAAAACTAAGTGTGTGTTTCCCATTTCACTTAAATGAATTAATTTTCTCTGGAAACTTAGAAATTTATAATTGTATTTATCAGTTAATAAGAAATTGTAAATATAAACTTTAAACAATATAATGTACTAACCCTAGAATTAAGATAAAATTTGTAAGCAATTTGCGAACATATCAATCATGTAATAAACCTTTTAATAAAAATGAAAAAAAAATGGAAAAAAAAGAGACAAAAAAAAAACAAATAAATAAAAAAAAATAGGTCAAACCAAATTAATATAAAAAAAGACCAAAACAAAATAAAAAATATATATACATATTATATACAATATCAAAAAAGTAATACAAGGAAATAAAAAAAAATCAAATAAAAAAAATATAAAAAATAAAAAAAAAATAAAAAAAAATCACAAACAAACAAAAAAAGAAAATCAAAACAACTCAATTATTTAATTTATTTTTAACTTACATTTAGTACTAACTCGAACTCTGATTGTTGTTCTGTGAATACAAATTATGAAACAGTCTGGTCAATAAGGCCATTAAAAAAAAAAAAAAAAAAACATGCATTTTGTCTTTTTTGGGGAAATTAACATGTTAAATTTTCTGGCGGTTACATTAAATTGGTGCATACTTTGAAAGAGTAATATTGCGTCGTCTGCATAACAGATTATTTTAAGTTGTTTTTCTCCCATTTGGTATCCTTTTTTAGTTCTTACT